CCTTAATAAAGTTCTTTAGTTTTGGTTTTCTCTAATCCACTGCCTCTAAAATATTTAAAGTATTAAATATTCTTATCTCTAATATTATAAACTGTGTTTATAACTAAAACTCATTGTTTAAACTGTTATGATACATTTAAACTCTTACATATATCAGCTATATTAGTATAGTTTGCTACTAACGCTTTGAGCTTTTCTCTAGTTGGGTTATTGTAAGCACTAACTTAACTAATTCTGTTAACTTTCGAGTTCAAGTTCATGTTGAAGTCTCTTGCAACTATATTTTTCATATTATCATTACTTTTGTAGTCTAATTATCAAAAAATCTGCATCTATTTTCTATATTTAGTAGGCATAAACATTAGTAATATGAAATATTCATTGTTTGAACTGAAAGTAGTATCAATTACTCTTCCATTTAGTAAGTTTTGTACATTTTTGAAGATAATATCTCTATTTCTAGTGAGAATTGCTATTTTAGCTGTCCAATATAAGTCATATAACTATTACTTTTTTATGAAATTTCTTGTATCTGAATTATTTAAATTCATTTCTTGTATCATGATTAAATCTAATTTATATGTTTTTAAGAATGTCAATATTTTTTGATATTTATGTCTATTATTTAAATCCTTGACATTTAGTGTAGCAATTTTTATATTGTGTTTATTCATTATCAGTATATATTTAGAGAGCTGTTACACTTTAATACTCAAATAGTCAAGCCTTATTTTTGTGGGAGAGACTTCCTCTAATTCTTCTATTTTTATTGTAAGGCTTATAGTGATATTATATATTATTATCTTGTATTTTAGTCTTATGTTTTTTGTATGTTACTATTGTAAAGCTATCTTCTGAGCTTAGGTTTTTCATTATTTGTATCTGATATTCCATCTCTTCTCATATCTAGTTCATTAGCTGTATTAGACATCCTGATCTCTATTGTATCTGTTTTGTTAGCTATTGTTGCTTCAGTTGTATTTTGTAAAGATTTAATATTTTCTGTATCTTTTTCATTCTCAATCATGTTTTCTAGGTTTTCTTCCTCACCTTATGATATGACATCTTCTTCGTTATCACTTATTGTAATATCTAGTATTGTTATATTGTTTTCCTCTCTGTCTTTTGTTTTGTTTAGATATGAGTTATCTTTACTGAAGATATAATTGTTATTAGAAGAGATATTCTCTTCACTATGCTTATTTGTCTTAGATTTTCTATAAAGCTGTCTAGTGCTTAGTACTTTCTTGAATTGTGAACAGTCTTTTTTGATATGTTCAGCTTGATTGCAGTAAAAACATACTCTGGAAGCTGATTTCCACTCTGTTAAAACTTTTTGTCTTCAGATACTAGTGTGTCTTGGAATCTTACTTTCAAGGTTCGAGTTATTTATTGTTTCATAAATTATTATCCATTGGTTAGTGCAAATTAGAGTATCCTTGTAGACTAATAACTTGATTGACTTAATCAATCCAAAGTCCTCAAATGCTTCTTTAATCATTTCTGAAATAAAATCTCTCTTTTCTATTAGAATGTTACATAGTTTTACTGCAAGGTAAGTTTGTTTTAAGTTTGTTGGAATATAACCTAATAGGGTTTGTCTAAAAAGCATAATACCCTTTCAAGCATATTTCTGTTGTTTGTGTTCGTCTTAGAATACTATTTCCAAGTGAGTTCGTTTGCTTCTTGTGAAGTAGAGTTTAGCTGCTACGAAGTTGTCACTAATTTTGGTATACAATGTTGAGATTATTTTGTTTATTAGAATGTTGTTAAGACTTTGTATATCAAAGATTAGTGTATTGTTATTCTTAGTAGTGATATTTCTACTAGAAGTATGCTTTAAAAAGTTGCTTGTCCCTTTCTTAAAGTTGTAAACAGGCTTGTCTATTTACATAGCATAAGAACTTGATTCTCTTCTTCTAAGTAGTTTATTTTATTTAACCTGTCTGCTTTCTATTCCATAAGGCCAGACCTTTTGTCTATACTTGTAGCTTGAGCTTGTTTTGAACCAATATCTGCACTCTAATCATGTGAAGAGCTTATATCAGACTCTGGCTCTGATATCTTTTCAGAACCTTTTATAAGCAGTGCTATAGGATTTTCTAGTTGTTCCATTTAAATTTCTAGTAGGCTTTTATTTTTATCTTTGTGAGAGATTTCTTCTCTTAGTTGGTATACTTCTTCTACCATACTATGCTAGTTCCTAGTTCTATTACAGGTTGTGTTGAGTGTGGATACTCTGACTTTAGAAATCTTTGTAACTGTTATATTTCTAGTTTGATTTTCCTTGTTTCTATTGTTGGGTTTGTCTTTAGTTCTTAGTCTTGTATTATATATCTTTTTTATTTTATTACTAGATTTTTTTATTTCTGTATCCACTCGTCTACGCTTTTTTTAAACAAGGGTCTTTGCTCTTGTTGGAGTAGTTTTATCATTAATAAGCTTGATTTCTTGCAGTATATTATTTCCTTTTCTAATACTCAGTTTTTGGAAGTAGAAAGAGCATTAATCTAATATATATGATATATTTAATATATATGATATATTAAATACTTCTAAATATATATAAGCAATGACTTTTTCCTCTTTAATAAAGGATCGAAAACTTGATCTTATTTTAGATCTCAAACTTGAGAATAAATCTCTGCATATATTAATCTGATACCACATTCGTTGATCTACAACTACTTACCCTCCTCCCTTTCTGATAATATAAACTAACCTTAACTCTGATAAACTCAGACCAAATCCTCTACACCCTCTTTTAGCCTTTCACTATTAGAGTTATTGTTAGTTTAATGGTAGGTTACAGAGTATTATTAGATATGACCATTATCTCGACCTACTCTCAAACTATGAATAATGAATTAAACCTTTTAAATTGGTAGTGACTATAAGATTTGCAATGCCCACTATGAGATTCAATATGACCTATCTAAGAACTAACCTAAACATAACCCATAAATAATAGTATGTTGAGTAATTGCAGAAGAATAAAACTAGAATTTTCAGAAATTGGAATCAAATGTTGATCTCAAAAGACTAGTAAGTCATGAATTTGTCTAGTACTAGTATATAAATAGGTACTATACAAAATGAAGAGATAATATAGAAAGGAAAATTAGTAGAAAATTAAAGTTTTTCCTATGCAATTAACTGAATATAGAAACAAAAAAAAATAAAAAATAAAAAAATAAACCTTCTTGATAAACCTAATACTTAATAGTTGGTTAGAATAGAATAGAGTGAGATTCAGAGCTCTATTCACTTTATTATCTAAAGTAGAAAAAAAGAATTAGAATAGTATTTGATTAATATAACAGAAAACATATATAACTAGTAAAGACCTAGGCTTTATCCTGCAGCACCTATAGCTAAAAAAAAGGAAGTAAAATGAAAATTAAGAAAAGAAACAAAATTAGATAGAAAGAATTAAAGAATATATCTATATCATATGCCAAATAAACCTTTATAAAGCCCTGAGTAGATATCAAAGTGTAGCTACTGAATTAAAGGATAAAAAATGAAAATTTATATTACTTACCTGAAGAAATTAAAGAAAACTATAAGATCGAAAAAGAAGAAAACCAAACCAAGTGACAATCATGAAGAACCTTCATGATCGAACTCCAACAAGAAAAAGATTGGAGTTAGAAAGAGAAAAAGAAATTCAAGAAAAAATATAGAAACTACTTACCTCCAAAGACCCAAGCCAAATCTGAAGAACAAAATCCAGCCTAGGTTCTGGTGTCCTGGCATTTTGTCAATATTGATCCATTTACCTACAAGAATCTATAATGAAGATTCTCAAGATTCTTGAGCTGTGAAAAATTTAGACGGAAAGAAGAAAGGAAACATCAGAAATACTTGTCTGAAAGTTTTGAAGAAGCCTCAGTATAATGCATATTCCGTTAAACTTCAACAGGTTTTAAGATTTTATGCGTGGTATGCATAAATTAAACAGAGGAATTTGTAAAAGTCTAAATTGACCTTCCAGAAATACTGCGCTTCGACGTAGTACGATGTCCTATTTTTAGTTTGTAGAATCTTTTATTAGTACATGTATAATTAGAAGCCTTACCGTAGATTAGTGTCAATCCTTCCCCATATTTAGTTTAAACGATGTACGAAATGTTAAATATATATAATATATTAAAAATATATGATATATTTTATATATACGATATATTTAATATATACGATATATTTAATATATACGATATATTAAACACTTCTAAATGTATATAAGCGATGACTTTTTCCTCTTTAATAAAGGATCGAAGACTTGATCTCAGTTTAGATCTCAGACTTGAGAATAAATCTCTGCGCATATTAACCCGATACCACATTCGTTGATCCACAACTACTTACCCCCCCCTCCCCCTCCGATAATATAAACTGACCTTAACCCTGATAAACCCGGACCAAATCCTCCACGCCCTCTTTCAGCCTTCCACTATTAGGGTTATTGTTAGTTTAGTGGTAGGTTGCAGAGTATTATTAGGTGTGACCATCATCCCGACCTACCCTCGGACCACGGATACCGAATTAAACCTTCTCAACGTATGTGAAAAGTTTTTCATAAGATTCGGCCAAGAATTTATTGAAATAACTTTAATTAAAGCTTTGAATTTTTTTTATAGATATTTAAAAACTTTGTAAGATATCCGACAACTCTATAAATTGCTTTTTTGTTAGAATTCTTTGAATTCAAATAAAAACATGTTCATCGAATTTATTTAGTTTTGCGACATTAGAATATCTATGAACCTGTAAATTT